GAGAGGTGAGCGGAGAGGAGAGTTGAGAGGTGAGCAGAGAGGAGAGTTGAGAGGTGAGCGGAGAGGTGAGCGGAGAGGCGGCAGGGGAGGCTGAAGAAGGGCAGAGTGGGGAAAGTTTCTTAGGGGGGATGACGGGACGTTCAGGAATGGTCTCTGGGGTTTACTGAATCGCACTCTCTTCACCAAGCAGCAGGAGCAGCGGAGCAGGTCACCCCTGCAGCTGCTGCCTAGGAGGAGGGAGTCCCGGGGCTCCATCCCACAGCAGGGGATGATGAGTGACAGGCTTTGGCAGACAGGAAGAAAGAGGTTTCCTTGCACATTTGGGGCAGATGGGGTAGAGGATCAGAAACGAGGCCTGAAGACTCAAAGTGCCAATGACAAAAAACCTGAGTCAACCTAAATAAACTGGGGACAGTGGGTGCTGGGAGCAGATGAGCAGGCCGAACTGTGGAAGCTCAGTTGAGTGTGGTGCAGTGTTAGTGGGGGAAAGGACAGGCCGGGCTATTACACCTACACTTGGACTCGCCTCCTAATTACCCCCACCTTCTACTGGATACGAGACAAGTCGCTGAATATTCTCTAGTTTCCTAAATCCTAAAGCAATGGTCTGAACCATAACCCAGGGGGCATATGGTAGTCCAGGAGGGGCACAGGATTTTCATCGTCACCAAAGTGTTAACCAAGCACTTCGTGGCTCTAGAAGTCACATGCGTCCTTTTCGGAAGATGGGCTTCTTCTATCATAGTGGAACCCAAGTTCTTTGATAAATTAAAAAAAAAAAAAAATTGGTGAGTACATAGGAGATTGAGATTGGAAGTATTCATTGACTTCTATTGGTATTTCCAGTTATAATTAGTCAATGACTTCTCCAGGTACAGATACCAGGAAAAGGAAGCTCTTTGAAGCAATGAGCTCTCTAGCGAAACAGGACGCTATAAGGAAACCCGTGCATTTTTTCCTGATCTCTTTCCAAGAAGCTGAATCCTTTTCAGAAAAACTAACAAAAAGAAATCTGACTAAAATGGATCCATGCCACATGGCTGCCTTACTGGCAACCTGAAATCCTTTAGAGTT